TCCCAAGAGGCACGTGATGGCAGGTGGTACCACTCTCGGTGATGCTGGGCTTCAGATTGTGGTGACCACCTTCTCGTCTGCCACTGGGAAATTTCCCATCAACGTTTCTCCTAATGGTTTTAGCATCCCTTGGTGATGTTCGCCTGAATTAATTATTTTAGTAGAGGTGGCAAAATGTTGATTTTCGAATTCATCGGCTGGAATTCTCCAAAGAGAGAACTTTCCCTCATTACCTGAGGCCATTTGGTGCCTGAGACACTCTGTACAGAGTAGGTGAGATAGAATAATGATGACTTTTGGTGAATGCAGCGATATTTGAAAGAAGTGTACTCTGCAGTTGTTGGCTAGAATGTTCTGTAAATGTTAATTACATCAAGTTGGTTGGTAGTGTTTTAATGTTGCCTTCTGTATCCCTGTTGATTTTCTGCCTTCTTGCTCTATGAAACTCTGAGAAAGGGAGTGTGGGAACCTCCAGTTATTATTGCAGACTCATCTATGTTTCCTTCTGGTTCTACTAGGTTTTGCTTTATACATTTTGGAGCTCTGTTATGAAGCATATGCATGTTTAGATTATTATATTATTATATTTAGGTTACTGTATAATCCTTTATCATTAAGAAATATTCCTCCTTATCCCTGGTAATAATTCTTGTTCCAAAACTACATTGCCTCAAATTAATATAGCCACTCCAAGTTTCTGACAATTAATGTTTGCATGTATATATTTTTGTATTCTTTTACTTTTAACCTATCTGTGTCTTTATATTTAAAGTGAGTTTGTTGTAGACAGCACACAGTTGACTCTTGCGCTTTTCTGCAGCCTGACAAAATTATGTATAAATCCACCATTTGGCTGTTTTTTTATTTGTCCCATCTGTTCTTTGTTCCTTTTCTCCTCTTTCCTGACTTCTTTTGGATTTTTTATCTTGTTTTGTTTTAGTATTCCATTTGATCGCCACTGGCTTATCAGCTGCCCTTTGTTGCTCCATCAGTAGCTCTGATGTTACAATGTGCATTTTTCACTTCCCACGATGTACTCTCAGGCATACCACTTCCCATGAAATGTGGAGGCACACAACAGCCCACGTCCCTTTCCCTCCTAACCTTTCAACTGTTGTCATCCATTTTACTTCTCTAGAGGTTAGAAACCCCACAATACATTGTTACCACTCTTGTTTTGAGTATCTTTTTTTTTTTTTTTTTTCCCCAAGACAGGGCCTCACTCTGTCACCCAGGCTGCAGTGCAGTGGTGCAGTCATGACTCACTGCACCCTCAACCTCCTGAGCTCAAGCAATCCTCCCACCTCAGCCTCCCGAGTAGCTGGGACTACAGTCACATGAGGCTGCAGTGAGCTGTGATTGCAACACTGCATTCCAGCCTGGGTGACAGAGTTAGACCCTGTCAAAGAACAGAGAGAGAGAGAGAGAGAGAGAGAGAGAGGAAGGAAGGAAGGAAGGAAGGAAGGAAGGAAGGGAGGAAGGAAAGAAAGAAAGAAAAAGATACTCAGCTGTTGAAAGCAAGAGTAATAAAGTGTATCGTGGGGTTTATAACCTTTATGGAAGTAAAATGAATGACAGCAGCTGGATTTTTGTATTTTTTGTAGAGACAGAGTCTTGCTATGTTGCGCAGGCTGGTCTCAAACTCCTGGGCTCAAGCAGTTTGCCCACCTGGGCCCCCCAAAATACTAAGATTGCAGGCATGGGAGCCCAGGGGTTTGAGGCCCCCAAAAAGACTAAGATTACAGCCACTGTACCCAGCCCAGTTCAGTATCTTTCGAAGAAATTTTTAAAGAGGGAAACAATATGTTTCATATTTACCCACACGTTTGCCATTTCTGATACTTTTCTCCTTTCAGTAGATCCAAGTTTTTATCTGATATCATCTTTTCAGCCGTAAGAACTTTTCTTTAACATTTCTTATAGTGCAGGTCTGATGGCAATACGTTCTCTCAGCTTGCCTTTGTCTGAAAAGGTGCTTGTTTCTGGGTTCATTTTTTAAAAGTCATTTTATCTGTTTTAGAATTATGAGTTCACAGGGTTTTTTTCTAATCACTTTAAATATTTCATTTCAATGTTTTCCATTTGCATCACTTCTAACAAGAAGTCTATGATTTCTTTAGTGTGTTTTGTTTCTCTGGCTGCTTTTAAGATTCTTTTCCTTTTTCACCGGTTTTCAGCAATTTGGTTATGTTGTATCTTAAGGTGGTTTTCTTTGTGTTTATCCTGGTCAGGAGTCATTGAGCTTCTGGAATTAGTGGATTTATAGTTTTAATCCACCAATTTAAATTTGAAAGTTTCTCAGACTGTTTTTCAATTAAATAAATGTTCTGGGACTTCAATTACATGTATGTCAGATTTCTTGATATTGTCCAACAGGTAATTTTTTTCCATTTTTTTTCTCTCTGAACTTTATTTTGAGGCTGTCTTTAAGGCTTTTACAGGCCTTTAGATAGCCTTTACTCTACGGCTAATTTAGTCCCATTACTACGGCTAATTTAGTCCCCTTACTAAGACATGACCCTTCTAGGTCTCTGTTTAATGCCTGATGGGTCCCTCCATGCTGGCAGCAGGGGGGAACCATGAGCAATTCCTACATCAGCCATTGTTTGACTTCCAGCTCCGGCCATGGGTCTGCCTCCAGCTTCATGGAGTTTCATCCTATGCATGTGCAGATGCAGAGTCAATTAAAGACCCTAGAAGAATTTCTAGAATTCTGTCTGTATAGTTCTTTCCTCTCTGGTGTTCTGTCTCACAAATTCTAGCCACCTCAGCTTTCCTGAGTTCTGATCTGGGTTACCTCAACTCAGTAAGACAATTGGGTTCTGTATTATCCTCTCTCTCTCTCTCTCTTTGCCATAACCCCAAAATTGCCCATGGGCACAAAGCTGGGGCACACTTAAAGGCTCACCTCATCTGTTTCCCTCAATCAGGGATTTCCGTCCTGAGCTGTCTGTACGCCAGTATCTGAAATCAATTGCTTTCTATGTTTTATTCACTTTCCTAGTATTTACAGTGCAATGATGGATGTTACCCTCTTATGACCAGAATCAGAAGTCTCAGGAATATATATTTTAGCAAAAAATCATGAGTTCACACTGATAGTTCTCTTCTATAACATTTCAAATTTTATACTGCAAGGTTTTAGCTTACTTTCTTTGATTGTATTTTTAATATTCTTGTATTTCTTTTATTCTACCTTAAAATCGTAGTTTCTAATAGCATTAATGTAATCTTACAGTATATATCAAATAATTTCAAAATAGTGGTATCGATATTATTACCAACAATAAGGCCAGGCCCAGCAACTCACGCCTGTAATCCCAGCACTTTGGGAGGCCAAGGCAGAAGGATCTCTTGAGCCCAGGAGTTTAAGGTCAGCCTAGCAACATAGTGAGACCCTGTCTCTACAAAAAAAAATTTTTAATTAGCCAGGTGTGGTGATGTGAACATGTAGTCCCAGCTACTTGGGAGGCTGAGGCAGAATCATGGGAGCCCAGGGGTTTGAGGCTGCAGTGGGCCATGCTGATGCCACAGAGCAAGAACCTGTCTCCAAAATAAAAGCAAAACAAATAAAACTAACGGAACAAAACCCCGGAAACCAATAAGACTATTGCATAGAATTTCAAATTCCTTTTTGCCTTTAGAGTAAGTGCCACTAAAAGAGAGGAATCTAAGTTCACTATTATAAAATTCCTTGATCTTGATGTAATTCTTTGTGTGTGGGGTTTTGTTACCAACTTAGAATATGGTCTAATTCATTTATTTTATTTTATTGTTTCTGCTGGTTAGGTAGCCTTTACTACCTGGACTAATTCATTTGATCTCGGACTAATTCATTTCTTTCAGAGTGTTTTCAAGTTTTAGGAACTCATTTTTTTTCCTTTCTAAATCTGTGTGTGTGTGTGTGTGAGTGTGTATGTGTATTTTTTTTCCCCCAGAGATTGGGCTTCACTATGTTGCCCAGGTTGGTCTCAAACTCCTGGCCTCAAGTGATCCTTCTGCCTCCGCCTCCCAAGTGGCTGGGATTACAATCATGAGCCACCACACCTGACTTCCTTTTATATATAACTTTATTTTTCAAATGGTTAAAACATTTACATGATTCCAAAATCAAAACCATGTACACTCAAAGAATTTTCGCTTTCCTCCCTTTCTTCTTACCTTTATTCCCTCTCTGCCTATACATTGGCAAGTCACTCAGGTTTTGGTTTAACCTTCCAGGGTCTTTTTTTTTTTGAGACAGGGCCTCTCTCTGTCACCCAGACTGGAGGGCACTATCTCGGCTCACTGCAGCTTCTGCCCCCCAGGTTCAAGTGATTCTCATGCCTCAGTGATTCTCCTGAGTAGCTAGGATTATAGGCACCCGCCACCACTTCTGACTAATTTTTGTGTTTTTAGTAGTACGGAGTTTCACCATGTTGACCAGGCTGGTCTTGAACTCCTGACCTCAAATGATCTGCCCGCCTTGGCCTCCCAAAGTGCTGGGGTTACAGGCGTGAGCTCCTGACCCAGGCTGTTTTTGTAAATATAAGTAGATACCTGTGTGCACACATAGATTCACATTGCACCTTTTTTTTACATATATGCATAGTGTACACATTTCTTTTTCAACTTAATAATACATCCTAGAAACCACTCACTCTCTGCACATAGAACTCTCTCCCTCTGTCCTCTGCCCTCTCCTCCACTCCCTCTAGAACTGCTGCATTGTGTGGCTGGATCATGGGTTTTTCAGCCGAGTCCCAGCTTGTTTGGTGGTTTTTCTCCAGTGGAAAAAAATGAGCCATCCCCAGGCCCCTGGCTATCCCCACCTTTACGGCTCCCAAGTTCTCAGGAGGGAAACTACAAGTGAAGGGTGGCAGTTGTCCTGGTGGGATCACAGTTCAGAGATGGGGCACACAGAGACCTTTGCCAAGCATACTCACACAGGGAGATGGGGTGCTTTTCAGGAGGCAACATTTCTCTTGCTGAAACCCGATTTATTTTTCCGGTCCATGCAGATCTGGAAACAGCTGCCACATCTAAAGGCAGTCGTGATATACAAAGAACCTCCTCCAAACAAGATGACCCATGTGTACACGGTATGGGCAGCGGGACCCTGGGCGCCTGGCGGGGCCTGCTGGGCCCACCCAGCTGACCTAGCCTGCCTACTCCCTGCACCTGGCTGCAGATGGAGGAGTTCATGGAGCTTGGGAATGAAGTGCCCGAGGAAGCCCTGGACGCCATCATCGACGCCCAGCAGCCCAACCAGTGCTGTGTGCTAGTCTATACATCAGGCACCACTGGGAACCCCAAGGGCGTGATGCTGAGTCAAGACAATGTAAGACAGATGCCGGGTGGGGGGGATAGTGGGTGAATCTGGACCATGGCTCTGCCCAGTAGCCCCTGGGGAAGCTCCTCAGGCCCCTCCGTTCTGTCTGGGAGCTGGGATAGAACAACCCTTCAATCTGTGGCCCAGAATGAGCCCAGCAAGGGGAAGGGGAGGCCTGTCCTGGGGTTTTCAGAGCCTGCAGAGATGCCACAGAGGGCACCACGCGGGGGCTGGCCCCCAGGGTGGTCACAGTGGTGAGCACTGCCGGAGCGGCTTGTGGATGCTGCTGGGGCCCATCTGCCTGTCCTCCAGATCACGTGGACAGCGCGGTACGGGAGCCAGGCCGGCGACATCCAACCAGCAGAAGTGCAGCAGGAGGTAGTGGTCAGCTACCTGCCCCTCAGCCACATTGCTGCCCAGATCTACGACCTGTGGACGGGCATCCAGTGGGGGGCCCAGGTCTGCTTTGCTGAACCCGACGCCCTGAAGGTCAGTCTGCCTCTATTGTGTGTCTGTCCAAGCCTGTGTGCCAGGGCACCTCCACGTGTGTCCATGGGACCTGCGTGTGCATTTGTGTGTGTGCTGTTCCTATGCATGTATCAGTCAGAACTCAGTGGACACAGCCTGACTCAGATGACCAAACAAGAAGGGTGCCTGATGCCATTACATAAAGTTGAGTCAGAGTGGTTCGTGGGGCTTGCGACACCCTCAAGGACGGGAGTCCTCAGAGTGTCACCTGTTGGCTACGGCCCTTCCCTGAATCCCAGCCTCACAGGAGACACCTGTTCCTGGGACCTTTATTTTAACTGTGAGGAAAACTTCCCAGAAACACCCCAGCAACGTTCCCTCCGCCTGCATCTCAGTGGCCCAAAGTGTCACCTGTCTGTTCTCAAACTGAACACTGCGGAGGAGAATGGGATTTTTGTGTCTGAGTTGAGTCACCACGCGCAGGGCTGGGACGAGACTGGGGTCCTTCTGAAGCACTGGCCGCTTGACAGCTGCCTGCTACCAGGGTTCCGCATGCAGAGAGGGAGGCGAAGGCCACTGAGCCGACAGTATGTGCCACACCTTGTGTGCAGGTGTGCGTGGGTGCCCATCAAGCATGTGTGTGCTGCTGGCATGCCTGCAAGGTGTCTGCATGCCTGGCTGGTGAGAGGGCCCCCCTGGTCCCCAGCTGTCCCTGACCTGGCAGGCCTGCCTCTTCTGGTGTGAACAGGGGAGCCTGGTGAACACGTTGCGGGAGGTGGAGCCCACGTCGCACATGGGGGTGCCCCGGGTGTGGGAGAAGATCATGGAGCGCATCCAGGAGGCAGCGGCTCAGTCTGGCTTCATCCGGCGCAAGATGCTGCTGTGGGCCATGTCGGTGACCTTGGAGCAGAACCTCACCTGCGCTGGCAGGTACAGAGGGTCCATGGGCAGGAGGCCTGGGGAGGCGGCAGGCTTGGTCATAACCCAGAACACGGCGTGGGTCTGATAGGCCATGCCCGTCCCAGCGCCAGTGTCCGGGCAGCTCTGGAGAACCCATGCAGAGGCCCCGTCCATGACCGGGCTTCAGCGCCTGTGCTTTTCCCAGGCCCTGCTGGGAACAGTCACTCAACCTTTGGATTCTGACTGCGAGGACTAAGTTGGTTTCTCCGAAGTGAAATTCAGCTCCCTAGGAGCAGCTCTTGGCACAGTCTCCTGAGGTCTCCTGACCTCAGTGGATGGCTGGAGAAGAGGCCACAGCGATGAGGACTTTGCCTTTCCAGCGTTTTCAGCATCCCAAGTGACCCCTCCGATCTCGCCCCTTTCTATCTTTCCATGGCTTTTTAGATTCCCACATAGTGCTATGGGAGCGTCAGTGACATGAATCAGACTTGGTTTCAGTTTAGTAGTTCCCATTCCCCAAGTGTCTGTGAAATGGTATGTTTCATGAGATGTGTATACACACCTGTGCACCCACAGCTTCATTTGCACAGACATGAAAAGTGAATGTGCACGAGCAAAGCATTTGTGGGCTTCACTGGGGTCCCACGTTTGTACCTGTGTCTACACAAGTATATACTTCAAGTCTGTGCATGTGTATTGTGTGTGCAAAATGGCATGCGTCTGTGTTGTTGCCTCTACACCTGTACGCAGCTGAATCGGTTTGACTTCCTGGTTTCAGACACATTTGCACACAGCGTGTGCCTGCATACCTGCTTCTGCATGCGTGTTGACAGGCAGGCTGAATATTCAAACCAACTGGAACAGACAACTGCAATGGCTGAGCCAGTGTGTTCTTACTGAATACCACCCTTTTGTGTGTGTGTGTGTGTGTGTGTGTATGTGTCTGTGTGTTTGTGTGTCTGTGTGTGTTTATGTTTGTGTGTTTGTATTTTTGTGTTTGTGTGTGTGTCTGTGTTTGTGTGTGTGTTTGTATGTATTTGTATGTTTGTACGTTTGTGTTGTGTGTGTGTTTGTATGTGTGTGTTTGTGTCTGTGTGTGTTTGTGTTTGAGTGTGTTTGTGTGTATGTTTGTGTGTTTGTGTCTGTGTGTTTGTGTGTTTGTGTGTGGTGTGTTTGTATGTGTTTGTGTGTATGTTTGTATGTTTGTGTTTGTGTGTGTATGTTTGTGTCTGTGTGTTTGTGTTTGTTTGTATGTTTGTGTTTGTGTCTGTGTGTTTGTGTTTGTGTGTGTTTGTGTGTGTGTGTGTGTGTGATTTCTTCTGTGAACCATTCTCCTTCTCCCACCAGCGACCTGAAGCCCTTCACAACAAGACTGGCAGATTACCTGGTGCTAGCCAAGGTCCGCCAGGCACTGGGCTTTGCCAAGTGTCAGAAGAACTTCTATGGAGCGGCCCCCATGACGGCAGAGACACAGCACTTCTTCCTGGGCCTCAACATCCGCTTGTATGCGGGCTATGGCCTCAGTGAGACCTCAGGCCCCCACTTCATGTCCAGCCCCTATAACTACCGGCTGTACAGGTGAGGCTGGAGGCTGCTGCACACGTGCACGCCAACATGCCCTTGCTGGCACTCCTGCTGAGTGCCCTGGGGACCCCCTCTTCTTTATACACCAGTTGGGTCCCAGAGACCTGGCCGCTGGGCTGTGGAGCCTCCGAGAGCCAGCACTGCCACCTTGGGCCGAGTCCCCAGCTTACCCTCCTCAGTCTAGTGGGGGTGGCCTCTGCCACTGTGTCGTGTATGTCTGTGGTTGAAAACAGCCTACACAGCCCAGGCGTCCCCTGAACAGGGGTCTACCTATGGAGCAGTTTTCCTCCGGCCCCTCCCTCTCCTGAGGTGGGGTGTGCTCCAGGGTGTTCCAGGGGCCAGCTGGGGTGGGAGTGGGGGACCAGGCCGGTCTCCTAATGGGTGGTGAGGGCGGTCCATTCTGAGGAGTGATTTAGGAGATCATCTGTTGTGCTCCAATAGCCCCTCTCCCTGACAGCCTATCACAGTGCTCCAAGTTCTACCATTACCATTTCCTCTGTTCCTTCTTTCGTTCATTCTCTAAAACCCTTTAATTGGCTCTACCTTTCAGCTCTAAGTCCCCTCTTAAAACACAAAAGCCCTGGCCGGGCGTGGTGGCTCACGCCTGTAATACCAGCACTTTGGGAGGCTGAGGCAGGCGAATCACAAGGTTAAGAGATTGAGACCATCCTGGCCAACATGGTGAAACCCTGTCTCTACTAAAAATACAAAAATCAGCTGGGCATGGTGGTGTGCACCTGTAGTCCCAGCTACTCAAGAGGCTGAGGCTGAGGCAGGAGAATTGCTTGAACCCAGGAGGCGGAGGTTGCAGTGAGCCGAGATCGAGCCACTGCACTCCAGCCTGACGCCTGGCGACAGAGCGAGACTCTGTCTCAAAAAAAAGAAAAAGAAAAAGAAAAAAAAAATACAAAAAGCCCTGTGAGGGGATACCTTCTAGCCATCAGTGAAGACCGCCCCCCCCCACCATGGGGGCTGGGAGAAGAAGGCTCCCTCTGACCAGTCTCCCGACCCCTCCCTCACCAGCTCAGGCAAGGTGGTGCCCGGCTGTCGGGTGAAGCTGGTGAACCAGGATGCAGAGGGCATTGGTGAGATCTGCCTGTGGGGCCGCACTATCTTCATGGGCTACCTGAACATGGAGGACAAGACGTGTGAAGCCATCGATGAGGAAGGCTGGCTGCACACGGGTGACGCTGGCCGCCTGGATGCTGATGGCTTCCTCTATATCACTGGGCGCCTCAAAGGTGAGCACCCCAGGCTGGGTGCGGTGGCTCATGCCTGTAATCCCAGCATTTTGGGAGACCCAGGCAGGCAGATTGCCTGAGCTCAGGAGTTCAAAACCAGCCTGGGCAACATGGTGAAAACCCGTCTCTGCTAAAAACACACAAAAAATCAGTTGGGCATGGTGGTGTGCACCTGTAATCCCAACTATTCGGGAGGCTAAGGCACAAGAATTGCTTGAATCTGGGAGGTGGAGGTTGCAGTGAGCCGAGATCGCCTCACTGCACTCCAGCCTGGGAGGCAGAGCTAAACTCTGTCTCCAAAAATAAAACGAAACCAAACAGAAACAAAAAGGCCAGCGCCTGGACAGCTATAGTGGGGTGGGAACAGGAAGTCCACTGCCACCACTGTTTATAGCAGCGCCAGTCTTGAGCCTTTATTATGTGTCACACACCTTTAGTGACATCGTTTTATTTACTCCTCTCTTCTATGAACCCTAACTTGCTAATGAGGACACCCAGAGAGGTTAAATAACTTGTCCAAGGTCACCCAGCTGGTAAATGGTGGAGCTTAGAGCTGAAATGAGACCTTTAGAGAAATAAGGCAAGTCTTTCCAGAAGATTCAAGAGCATAAGTATTACGTATTTTTAGATGCAAACACGGATATGATGGGGAATAGAATGCACGTTGGATATAAAATTTAAAATAAGACAAACTTCCCACAGAGACAGAAATAGCTGGGGATGCCTCTGTAGAAGTACGTTCTACCTACTTCACCTGAGTTGGTGTCACGTCCGCGGCACCCACGTGGGAATCCCGTGCCAGGGCCTCATGGGCGAAACAAGCTAAGCGAGTGGGTAAACTACTTTGTGGATGTCACGCAGAGGCAGTGTGCGACCGTGCCCAGGCCCCAGCTGATGGCCATGGAAGCTCAGCCCCCAGGGAGGGACAAAACGTCACGGTGGCGTTGGAGCCCTGAGATGTGCAGGCTGGTGAGCCCTGCCAGGGACCCTCCCAGAAGACCCCGGGAGCGACAGGTGGCTGCTTGGATGTGCCTTGGGCGCCACCTGGTGTTCCTCTTTGTAACGGCAGATGAGGGGACCCACGTTCTTGAAAGAGGATAGTAGCCCGAAAACCAAATTCAACTAGAGCTGGCCCTCCTTTTAGAACTAGTATAATGAGAGGTAAGGGTCCAGATAGCTTTTCTCCAAATATATATCCAACTGACACAGCGTCCCTTCCTCCTTGCCTTGCAGTGATACCTGTGTCCTTGACCAAGTGACTGCCTGTGAGAGGTCTGTGTGGACTCTACTCTGTTCTCTTGTTCTATTCACTTATCCTTGCACCAGTACCCAGTGTCTTAATTTCTATAGCTCTATGACCGAGCTAGATATCCGCTTAAGTCCTTAGAGACCTGGTCTTTTTCTTCTTCAAGACGACCTTGGCTATTCTTGGCCATTTTCATTTCCATAGGAACTTTTCATTGCATGTTTCCTCAAAAACTGGCTGGAATTTTGATTTTTGGTTTCATTAAATCTGTAGATCAATTTGGTGAGAAAAATACATCTTTATATATTGGGTCTTCCAATTCACAAAGATGATAAATCTCTCTCTCCATTTACTTAGGTCTTTTTCAGTTTCGCTCAATAATGTGCTATTTATTTATTTTTGAGACAAGGTCTCGCATTGTTGCCCAGGCTGGAGTGCAGTGGCATGATCTCGATCACATAGCTGGGACCACAGGTGCAAGCCCCTACACCTGGCTAATTTTTTATTTTTGTAGAGAGGGGGTTTTGCCATGTTGCCCAGGCTGCTCAAGCAATCCTCTTACCTCGGCTTCCTAAAGTGCTAGGATTATAGGTGTGAGCCACTGCATTCAGCCTATATTTTTTAGGCTAGAGATTTTTGTACATCTTTCCTTGTATTTTACTTGTGTGTGTGTGTGTGTGTGTGTGTGTGTGTGTGTGTGATGGAGTCTCTCTCTGTCGCCTGCACTCCAGTAAGGGCGTGATCTCAGCTCATTGCAACCTCCTCTTCTTGGGGTTCAAGTGATTCTCCTGCCTCAGCCTCCTGAGTAGCTGGGATTACAGGCACATGCCACCACCCCCAGCGAAGTTTTGCATTTTTAGTAGAGACGGGGGTTTCACTATGTTGGTCAGACTGGTCTCGAACTCCTGACCTCGTGATCTTCCTGCCTCAGCCTCCCAAAGTGCTGGAATTAAAGGCATGAGCCACTATGCCCTGCCCTTGTATTTACTTCTAATAATTTTTTATGCTATTTTAAATAATATCATTTCTAAAATCAGATGTTGCTGTGAAATTTTTTTTTGTCTATTTGTTCGCTATTAGTATATAGAAATGCAACTGCGTTTTGCATATTGGCCTTATATCAAACGACCTTGATCAGTCCACATATTTAATTTAGTAGTGTATATATTCTTTTGAATATTCTATGGACACAACTATATCATCTGCAAATAATGACAAATGATATTTTTTTCTTGTTGTTTTGCACAGGTCGGGACCTCCAGGGCAGTGTTGAATACAAGTGGTGGTAGTGGTCAAACTTGTTTTGTTCCTGATCTCAGGGAACAAGCATTATTTTATTCACTAGGCATGTTTGGCTGGGTGCAGTGGCTTACACCTGCAATCCCAGCACTTTGGGAGGCTGAGGCAGGCGGATCATGAGGTCAGGAGATCGAGACCATCCTGGCCCACATGGTGAAACCCCGTCTCTACTAAAAATACAAAAATTAGCTGGGCATGGTGGCGCACACCTGTAGTCCCAGCTACTCAGGAGGATGAGGCAGGAAAAACGTTGAACCCAGGAGGCTGAGGTTGCAGTGAGCTGAGATTGCGCCATTGCACTCCAGCCTGGTGACAGAGCCAGACTGTGTCTTAAAAAAACAAAAAAAATTTTAGAAGTATGTTTGCTGTAAAAATTTTGTAGATGTTCTTTATCAGATTAAAGAAGTGTCTTTCCAGCTGTAGTTTGCTAAGGGTTTTTATCTTTTACTAATGGTAAAAGACGCTGGTAAGAATGCAGAGGGCGGCAGTGGGGAGAAAAGGGCAGGAATGAGGCGGCCATGATGAGGCATATGTGGGGGAGGCTGCGTTGTTGTAGTTCCACATTTCCAGTCTGTCTTTTCCTCCTCACTTCTGCTGTCCTAGACAAACTCTGATCATCTAGACACTTGTCACGGCTTCCTCTCTAGCCGGCCCACCCCTAAATAACCACTCTTCACCCGAGTTGCCAGAGCGCCCCAGGACTTTACTGTCACTTCATTCCGCCTCCCAGCGCAGCTCCTCAGGCAGCACGAGAGGCCTCCGAGATCCATCCTACTCCCTCTCCAGCCTCTGCCTCACTTGCTACCTGCAGCTCCCGTATAAGGCTTGTGAGCTTCTGCTCCTGTCCTGCCTCTGCCTGCCAACCCCCATTCATGTTCAGCATGCAGCTGGGCCTGGCGCCTCCCTGCTCTGGCCCTGCAGCCCCTGTGCCTCCCTGTCTCACTGCCCCACTGCATGGTGGGCTCCTTGCAGCCATGGCCAACCTTGCTGTATTCTGTGCCTGATGTCAGCACAGGACCTGTGCACAGAATGCGACCAACTAATCTTTGCTAAATTAGAACGGAGGGACGGTAGTCTCAGTAAAATCAGTCGATGTGCATTCGTGCAATTTATTTTGTTGAATTGATTGCCATCTACCCTAGAAGTGAGCCATTATTAGTATCAGAGAACAGGTCAGGGCACTGAGTGCCTGGCAGTCTGTTGGACAGAAGGAAAGAAGCGGGGGGGACCTTCCAGGGAAGGGTGCAAGCAAGGGGAGAGTCATCCTAGCCGGGCAGGTGACAGTACGGGCTCTGGACCTGGACTGGATTTTAAATCTTAGCTCTGCTACTTACTAGCACGTGAGCTTGGACAAGTTACCGAACATCTCTGTGCCTCGGTTTCCTCATCTGCAAAAACAGTAACAGTGTCTGCTTCAGTATAGGTTTATTGTGACAGTTAAATGAATTACTCTATGTGAGGTGCTTAGCATGGTAGTGAGTGCTGTGCGTGACAGGGATGGTGGTTATTAAGCAAAGGCAGGGAAGGGAAATGACACGGGCTATTCAGGGGCAGGAACTGGGGCTGGTAGAAGGGGGCCATGGATGAGATGTCTTGGATGATGAGCTGAGAGGGGTCCCTGGGTGGGCATTTGTCCTTGGGGGACCACCAGCCCCCCCGCAGGTGTGAGGTGCTTCGGAGGGCCAGGCACTGCATCTTGGCTCCCAGCTAAGGGGCATCTCCAGCTGTGTTGCCTGCTGTACCTGAGGCTTCCGGGGTGTGGTGAGTCCTGGGTTGTGATTCAGCTGGGCTACCTGACGTACATTCTTTGCCGGGGACCTGGCCTTGCCTCCCCAGAATTAATCATCACAGCTGGTGGGGAGAATGTGCCTCCTTTGCCCATCGAGGAGGCCGTGAAGATGGAGCTGCCCATCATCAGCAACGCCATGCTGATCGGGGACCAGAGAAAGTTCCTGTCCATGCTGCTCACCTTGAAGGTGTGTCTGGGGGGGCCCCGGCTCAGAAGTAACAGCCAGTGATGGGGTCTGTGTGTCGGGCTGGCAGAAGCCACATTTAGCACAGGGCCCAGGCAGATCTCATGGCTTCATTCTGAAATGACTCGAGTCCGTGCTGCCTGCACTGTAGGAGCATCTGTGGCACGTGGAAATTCCTTCCGTCCCACACATGCCACCGTGAGGATCCTTTACATGTTACTTGCACTTTCCGGTTTACAAAGTGCTGCTGCCCTCCCTCATTGCTCTCGGCAGGTACTTGGGCCTCAGGGTTGCAGACAGGCAGGAGTTAGGGTCCCTGCTTTATAGGTGACGACATCACTGACCGAGGTCTTCTAATCCTGAGACCACTGCTCCTTCCACAGTAACACGAGGCTCAACACAGTAGCGGCTACTCATTCTAGAACCATCTCTTTGAAACAGAACTCACATGATTCACACCCTTGCCGACAGCAGTAAGACCAGGACCAGGGCTTATGTCTTGTGGGGTAAGGCTTGGTCCTCATCTCATCTCTGGCTCTTCAGTGCGCTCTGGACCCAGAGACCTCTGACCCAACTGATAATCTGACCGAACAAGCTGTGGAGTTCTGCCAGCGGGTGGGCAGCAGAGCCACCACAGTGTCCGAGATCGTGGGGAAGAAGGATGAGGCCGTGTACCAGGCCATTGAAGAGGGGATCCGGAGGGTCAACACAAACGCGGCAGCCCGGCCCTACCACATCCAGAAGTGGGCGATTCTCGAGAGAGACTTCTCCATTTCGGGTGGAGAGCTGGGTAGGTTTTCTCTTCACTATTGCAAGGCCAGTGTGGGAAGGCAGAGGCCTTGGCAGTGCCTAGAAGGTGCCCGTTATGAAGCAGCCACAGCAAGGTCAAGGTCATGGCAGGAATCTGGGCGATGGCTCAGTGCCCCGGCTTGTGGTTATGGGGAGCCTGTTGAATGTACAAGATATATGATAGCACTTTCTAATCTGAACATGACATTTAACTTGGCTTTGACTATGGGACCCTTTTCTCCTAAAATCACAATGGAACTACCAGGCCAACACCAAGGCCCTGTCGGTGCTCAGGCTGGAGTCATGTGGTTCTAGGGGCGAGATGCTGTGATCTTCTGGAAAGTCAGCTTGTGTGATAGGTAAAGGTGTGAGGCTGCCCTGGACCACTGCCCACAGAACCAGAGAGGGCTCCAGTGCAGCCTCAGCTGAGGTCACTCTTGGCTGTAGCCAAGAGATGTTCATGGGGTGTTCATGGAACAGGGGAGGCGGAAAGTTATGCCAGTGTGATTCCCTTAAACTCACCGAGGCTGAACCCAGATGCAACTGTCCACAGCAATGCTGAGCTGCAGTCAAGTGACCCTGGGCTTATCTGGCCATCTGCTGCCAGCACATTGAATGCAAGGACAGCCAGACAGAAGACGCCCTGTCTAAGTAGTTAGTACAATGACTTTAACACCAAAAGTTTCCAGTTACACAGTCAAGAGTGAGTTAGGCATTTTAAGCTCCCAGGACCTCAAATCAGAGCTCCTTCAGCCTTACTTTAGAGGGGGGAAATCGAGGTCAAGGAAAGTAATAAGGGGAAGACCTCTCATAAAGACCATGGCAGAGGCTCCCCAGAACCTGGACTTCCCCTACCCCCATCACAACCATCAAAGCATAATGTCCAACACTGTATGAACTTTCACACAAATACAGAGATGCCGTGTACTAGTCATCGAATACACTGCTGTGTAACAAATGACCCCCCAGAATGTAGCACCCTAAATTTTAGCAATAAACACATACTGTCCACATTTCTGTGGGTCAGGAATTCAGGAGCAGCTTAGCTGGATGGTTCTGGCTCGGGTCTCATGCGATTACGTCAATGTGTGCTGGGTGCAGTCACTTGCAGCTGAGGGTCCCCCTCCACACTCACTTATCTGGCTGTTGGCAGGCCTCAGCTCTTTGCTGGCTGCTGGCCGATGTGTGGCCAGTGGGCCTCTCCCGGGCTGCCTGTGTGTCCTCACAACATGGCAGCCAGCTTGCCCAGGAAGAATGGTCCAAGAGAAAGCCCAAGACAGAAACCTAGTCTATTTTTTTTTTTTTATTGCTTCAACAATTTATTCATTCAAGAGACAGAACGAATAAACCCATTTTAGAAAAAATGGACTGAGGACAAAAATGGGTGCAGGGCAAGGATAAGGTAGATGTGGCCTCCACCACTTCCCTACGTATATAAAAGAAACTGCAGTCTTTTATAACCTGTTCTCAGAAGTGACATACCCTCCCTCTATCCTCCACTGGCCGCACCAGAGGAATGACATAGGAGACTACACACACGCACACACGCCATGTGAATACCAACAGCCATCACTGTCTTGGAGGCTGGCTACGGACTGTCCTGACTGCCTGGCTTTATTTCTGAGTGACAGGACTCACTGAGTGTGAGTCTTTACCAAACGCATTCTGAGTTCTCAGAGCCTGGGCCTCACTCATTTCTTCCCGTTTCTCTTTTAGGTCCCACAATGAAACTGAAACGGCTCACGGTTTTGGAGAAGTACAAAGATATCATTGACTCCTTTTACCAAGAGCAAAAAATGTAATCGAGGGCCGCGCTTGCAGTTTCTACAGAATAGAGGGCAGGCCTTCCGAGCATCTTCCTGAGCCCCAGGTCTCCTCAGTCTGGCGCAGGCATTTCTGGCAAGTCTGTTAGATCTCCAGGTCAGGGCACAACACCAGCTCTTCATTTACCAGGTCTTAGACCAGTAATAGCTGACAATTCTGAGAAGCTTCATGTGTGGGTAGTTTTAATTCCGTTTCAGTATTGCTTTGTGCTCAGGTGACAAGTGAGATCAGCTCTCCTTCTAGAACGAAAGGGCTGATCATTTTTGGCCTTAGTTCCAGGTAGATTAACCAGCTGCTAGTTCACAGACAAGACAGCCGGCAGCAGGCTGTGGAGCCGGCGGGAGGGAGATGGCTGAAACTGCTCTTGTGCGCCACAGGGAAAGCAATCACTTACAACTCACCTAGTGACCTGACTTCCTCTGGAATCACGGTGGACACTGCAGACCCTGTTATTCCACTACCCGGCACTCCTCCGCCACACACATGCCAACTGACTGGATGCTTAATAAAAATGCTGCTGCCTGTTTGACCCTATTTAATGTGTAATTTGAATATTAAACCTTTTAACAGAACTGTCAACAAGGACCCGATTTTTTTGTTAATTGAGCAGGTGGGACCAGTGCAGGCAGTCATGGGTATTAAACTCACAGGACTGTGGACAGCAGACGTGAGTGACCACTGGTGCCCTGGAATAAACAAAGGTGCAGGATGGGGTTAAGTGGAGCATTCTCGTAAAAGCAGCCAACTCTACATTAGCCTGTCACCACCAGCCCACCCCACTTCCACTCTGAATACGGGAAGCAGCCGTTCTCGGTAGCAAGCTGAGCCAACATGACTGAAGGCCTCTGAATGGGAAACAGGTGGAGAAAGCAAACATCTCAATCAGTTTTGGAATTTTTATTACTTTGAACCCAAGAGCCACTGATAACTAGCACAATCCAATGAAACCAAGGAAGCAGCAGCTTAAACAAAGGAAAATACATTTAAGATTATAAGTCTGGTTACAAGCTTAAAAAATGACCCAGACAGGGATATTGTTGCTAAAAAAAAATCCCCTTGTGACCTGGGTACATTCTGCAAAGCCACAGGTTTGCAATGTTACACAAGGGTCAAGGGAGGGCATGAGTTGTCTTTGGTTGTGGGGCCACTGGGTAACGGTTCATGAAAACAGTGAGTGTCTGAGGATTAAGAAAATCATGCTGCAGCAGAGGGGAAGGGAGAGGAGGGCAGGAAGGGACAGGAGATGCCTGAGGGTCAAAAGCTGGGCCCAGCTCAAGCCCAAGCCCCAGCATGGCACAATTTTGTGAATCAACTCAGGCTGAGTCACCTGCAGTCTCTGCAATGTCTTCTTATACTGGTACTGCTGAGGCAGAGGGCAGTAATTGATGCTCTGGGAGATGAGAAGGGGCACTTGCTGAAATGTCAAACAGTCAGCATCCCAAGTTCCAATTGCAGTCAAAATACATGCGATCAAGCCTTTTGGCAGTATCGCCCCCAGCACTACCAGCTGCACTGTGGTCCATTCCCAGACAGAGACATGCATGACAGTCAGCCCTTCTGGCTCGAGATCAGGGGCTCAGAGGCTGCGACAACCCATGATGCTGAAAATGTATCCAATAAAAGGAAGTACTAGCTCTCTGCTTCATTAGAAGCTCTTGCAAAAAATATTAAATCTCAAGACAAAATAATTGAACACACAATACATTTGTATATTTGTATCCAATATATTACTTTTGTCTTATTAACAAAAATTATATCTCTCATTATATATTTCTTGGATCTGAAGTTTTTATTCATACTCAGTAATTTCTGTAAAGGACAAATCTGTCTCTATTTTGCATATCATTTAGAAATAACCACATTCACGCTTTTTGATGTGAACTTTCCCAGGAAATTTCTCTTGTGTCCATTTAGTTTTATGAGAGTGTCACTTTGTGCTATTATGTCAATATCTTGTTTTATTTCCATTATGTTTTTCATAAACCAAAGAAAATAAGGTTTTTCTTAAAAAGTTAGACATATTCTCTTGTTAATTCTGTATCCTGATATTTACAGCTAAAGAAAAACTATTTTAACTGAAGTGTAAAAGGGTTTAGAATAGCAAATTATACTGTTCACTTAAGAGTTTACAAAAAAAAAAAAAAAGTTTACCAGGTAGACACTTAATAAATAAAACAAGCACTTGGAAAAAGTTCTTTGAAAACAGACCTAGGGACATCCACCTGCATCTTTTGCACAGATTTTGTTAAGAAAAGGCCAGATCTAAAAATGTACTGTCAAGAAACAAGCAAACCATTGCATACATACGTAGGTATTCTAAATAGAGGTTTATGTGGTGTCCATTTGGAGCGACTGATGCAAATACCAGTTGTAGAAGCATTAATCTAAATCTTTTACTCGGCGACAGATTTCCTCTGTGAAGTCTGAGCATTTTGCATTGCCTCCTAAATCTTTTGTCAAGCTCTGAGAAAAGGAAAAAGCAAAAATAAAAAATGTATCCGCAAACTAAATTAAACCAAGGAGATTTTAAAGCCCTCAGGGAGATGCCACCTAGGCCAGTTACTTGGGTGCTCTTTCATTTAGTCCCTCATTTCAAAGCAAGGAACCACTCCACCACCATCTACGCAGCCAAGGAGGTTCAAGACCCAATCTCATAGTGTATACAACAGCACTCCACAAAGAACAAGGCACTCTTAATGCAAAGGGAGGCAGGGAGCTTTACATTTTCCCTTTGTTCACACAATAGACCCTAATATAGGTTGGTTAGTCATGGATGTTTACATAAAAGCAAATCTAAACAAGAAATTTCATAAAATCCTTGGGAAATTTGTAAAGGTTAAAAGACCTGAGACATATTCTGATCTATTTTGTTTTTATTTTTATTGTTTTTGAGATGGAGTCTCACTCTGTTGCCCAGGCTGGAGTGCAAGTGGCATGATCTCAGCTCACCACAACCTCTGCCTCCTGGGTTCAAGTAATTCTCCTGCCTCGGCCTCTGGAGTAGCTGGGATTACAGGTGCGCACCACCATATCCAGCTGATTTTTGAATCTGATCTATTTTTGGAGGCTGGGAAACAAACACGAAGGAAATATTTAAATCATTAACTCTCTTTTTTTTTTTTAAATAGAGATGGGATCTCACTATGTGGCCCAGGGCTGGTCTTGAACTCTGAGGTTCAAGTGATCCTCTTGCCTCAGCCTACAGCTCCAACTACAGGCATGCGCCACCACACTTGCCTAAGTCATTAACTCTTAAACCCCCCTCTTTAGGAAAGAAAGCCTCCCATACAACTGATCAGCTTATCCTTTCTTTCCTGCATGCAGACCCCAATATATTTAATTCTCTTTATCTTTCCATCCTATACAATAAAAAGGCTCACTGTGTAATTCAGGTATCTCTCTGCTGGGCTGTAGATTATAACTTTCCAAATATAATTTCAGAATAAGAAAATCATCTGACCTCCAATGTGACTATCAGCCTGTTAAAAACAAGGCTGAATTTCTTGCATTTTTGCCATATGATATAATTTGAAGTTACAGACTTTTTTTTTTTTTAACAGAAGGGACCAACTTTGAAGATACTATGCTAAGTGAAACAAGCCAGACTCACAGGACAAACACTGTATGATTCCATCTACATGAGGTACCTAGTCATAGAGACAGGAAGCAGAATGGTGGGTGCCAGAGGATGGAAGGAGGGGGAAGGGAAGGTTACTGTTTAATGGGTGCAGCGTCTGTTTGAGAAAATGAAACGGTTCTGAAGATGACTGATGGCGAGGCTTACATTACAATGTGACTGTACTTAACATTACTATACTGTATACCTAAAAATGGCTAAAATGGCAAATCTTATGTTATGCATATTTTTCACAATTTCTGTTAAAAAGGACCTCAAATTAGGGATGAGTCTTCAAGTGCATTACCTCTTCTCACTTGGAATAACCCACCACACTCCTTCCATGGCTACAATTGCTTATGAAGGCAGTGAAGCCTGTTAGGTAAGGGCCAGACTGGGTGTTAATACCAACTTGGTCATTTAGGAGCTGTAAAACCTCAGATGAATTACGTAATCTCTCTGTACCTCAGCTTCCTCATCTTTAAGATGGAATTACAGTATCTACTTCACAGAGTTATAGAAAAGCTTTGCTGAGATGATAAAGAACTTAAAAGTTGCATAAGTATTCGATTAATATTAGTTATTACCTTTATAAAACTTCTGTATTGCTTTTGTATTATAGATGCACATAGTGTAACATATAAGACTACTATATTAGAGGCACATCTGCATCTATATCTGCCACTAGATTCCCAGCTCCTTGAGGCTCAGCATCTTACCCTATTCATCATTTTACTCTTCACATCTTATAATGGACAGTCAATAGACGTTTGTTGTGAAGAGGAAAATGTTGTCTATAAAAATCAATGAACTTGGCTGGGTGCGATGGCTCATGCCTGTAATCCCAGCACTTTGGAAGGCTGGGGCGAGAGAATCACTTGAGGTCAGGAGCTAATTCGAACCCAGCTTGGCCAACATGGTGAAACCTCATCTCTACTAAAAATACAAAAATTAGCCATATATGGTGGCACACGCCTGTAATCCCACCTACTAGGAGACTGAGGCAGGATTATCTCTTGAACTCGGGAAGTGGATGTTGCAGTGAGCCGAGATTGCAACACCGCACTCCACCCTGGGTAACAGAGCAAGACTCTGTCTCAAGAAAACAAAATCAATGAACTTGGCCAAGGTCACACAGCTAACAATAGGATAACTGGGCCTGTACCTGAGGCTGGCTCCCAAACCACTGCCCTTTCCACTGTACACTCATGTCGCTGTATCAGTGCTTCTTAACCTTTTTTGGATGAAATATCTAGATCCTCACCTCAGAAAATGCACACATGTGCACACATACCCCGTTTGATCTGGGGACCACGTTAAGAATTCTTGTTCAACATCAAACGCTTGGGCCTGCTTGACAACTATTATCCGTCTCTGTCCTTTCACTCAGATAAAACACACGGAAGCAATGCATTTTACCCAGCACAAGTATGTCGAGATTCCTGTTACCTTTCCATCCTTAATTGTAGCGAAACATGCGGCCTCAATTCTCGCAGCGTGGTCAAAAAGTCCCATGTGGCGCAGCATCATCACGGCACTGAGCAGGAGGGCTGTGGGATTTGCCATGTCCTTGCCGGCAATGTCTGGAGCCGTCCCATGAACCTACATGTTGGGAAAAGCAGCATCATCAGGGGAGAGACAAGAGCTAACAGGCCTCTTCTGGGGCAGCTGGAGTCTTAACTATCTTTCCTCAGCAGTAGAAAATATGCACTGAAAGCTACTGCGGGCAATACATCTGACATGGACTGAAGGAATAAACTCTGGGTTGGGTGTGGTAGCTCACACCTATAATCTCAACACTTTGATAGGCCAAGGCAGGAGGATTACTTGAAGCCAGAAGCTCAGGACCAGCCTGGGCAACATAGTGAGACTCCATCTCTACAAAAAAATTAAAAATTAGCCAGGCCTAGTGACGCATGACTACAGTGCCAGCTACTTGGGAGGCTGAGGCAGGAGGACTGCGTGAGCCCAGCAGCTCAAGCCAGCAGTGAGCTATGATCATACCAGTGTACTCCAGCCTGGGTGACAGAACAAGGTCTCAACTCAAGGAAAAAAAAAAAAGAAAAGAAATAAAGCCTTGGAGAAATAAAAAGCTAATTTTTTTAAGTATAAAACTATGGACTAACAGTCTTTTTCAGTCAATCTTTGGTAAAATATTTTAAGGAAGGAAGGATACATAATAAATATCAGAGGGAAATGAAGAGATAAACCAAGCATGTGTGTGTGTGTGTTTAAAAAAACAACAAAAAAAACCAGCTGGGTGCAGTGGTTCATACCTGTAATGCCAGCACTTTGGGAGGCCAAGGAGGATGGATCACCTGAGATGGGAGGCCAAGCAGGATGGATCACCTGAGATCAGGAGTTCGAGAACAGCCTGGCCAACATGGTACAACCCCATCTCTACTAAAAATACAAAAATTAGCCAGATGTGGTGGCACATGCCTGTAATTCCAGCTACTTGAGAAGCTGAGACAGGAGAATCACTTGAACTTGGGAGGCAGAGTTTGCAGTGAGCCAAGATCATGCCACTGCACTCTGGCCTGGGTGACAGAGCAAGACCCCATCTCAAGAAAAAAAAAAAGCATCATTTTGTTTTGACAATCTGAAAAAGTGGAGTTAAAGCATACTTATACAGATAACTACTCCTGAGTTCACCCACTGTTCTGACCTGAGTTCTGCTTCAGGTGTCAGGGTCCTTACCGACTCAAAAATTGCAACCCCATTGGCTCCAATGTTGCCACTTGGTGTCACACCAAGACCTCCAATCAATCCTGCACACAGGTCACTAGGAGAAGAAAAGCATTTCAGAGGATGTTTTGAAAACCACAACATCTCACCTAGGAGTCAGATTTTAGTTTTTAATTACCATTCTCCACTCAAAGGAACTAGCGATCTTTGAATAAATGGCTGTTTCCAGGGCTAAGGTTAATAAAACACAGATGATCCTAGAGCATCCTAGTGTGCCAGAAGGCAAGGCAAGGTTCAAAGAATGAAGGACCATGTCAAAAGGACACAGGAGACACGGTGAACGGATCCTTGCCA